GGAGGCCGAGGCAGGCGGATCACGAGGTCAGGAGACCAAGACCATCCTGGCTAACAAGGTGAAACCCCGTCTCTACTAAAAATACAAAAAATTAGCCAGGCATGGTGGCAGGCACCTGTAGTCCCAGCTACTTGGGAGGCTGAGGCAGGAGAATGATGTGAACCTGGGAGGCGGAGCTTGCAGTGAGCCGAGATCACGCCACTGTACTCCAGCCTGGGCAACAGAGCCAGACTCTGTCTCAAAAAAAAAAAAATTTTGATTCATGTATTTACAGTTTAGTTATTTTAACCTGGGGAAGTATGTATGAGCCACACCTACAGTTTTGTTAATTATTTTATAATCAGTACCTTAAAACCCTTGAAAACAGATTCCTAAAATAAGGCATATGATTTCTATTCAGCGGCAATAATAATTTTCTAATATTTTCTTCTAAAGATTGATGGTAAATATTGGCTCCAATATATTGCACATAAAATAATTTGGCAGTTATCTTTTTTGATATTTTGATATCTAAATTTAAAAAATAGAAAAGTTTGATTAGAAAGCTTATTATAAGTAGAATTTGCATTTTACTCTAAGTGTAAATTACAAGCCATTAGTTGAATTTTGGTTTTGATGGTGATTTCTTAAAGCTTTTTCATTTTTATGTTAAATTATTTTACTTAAACAGAAATATCCTGTTTGAGTATATAAGTGCTGTCACCCCAGTACCTCATAAGCATTCATGTCCTAGGAGAGATGAGTGGCAGAATTAGTGTGACTCAGACTTGACTTTCCAGGGAAGTGGTCTAGCTTCTCTTCCAAATTACCTGCTAAGTTTTAAAAATGTGGACTCTCAGGCTTCAACATAGAGCTACTGCCTCAGAATTTCCAGGGGTTCCTTTCATAATCTGTACTCTTTCTTTCAAACCTGGTAACGAATCCCACACATAGCTAGATTGGGGAATGACTCTAGGCCTCTAATTCCCAGTCTCACCAAAAGGAACACCCCCTGTCAATGTAATTTACTGCATGTTGAGAACTTAATCATGGGCCAGAGGATCGTTCCATTTAACAAATGCTCACTAAGTGTGTATTGTGTCCCAGGCACTGCAACATGCATTGTGTCCAAGGAATTTACAAAGATGCATAGTATATAGATAATATCATTAATGCCCTTTTGGCTAGCTGGTGTATGTGAGTCTACATTGTGATGACTTGAGTTCTTCAAGGATCATCATGCAATTCTTAATTATAGCATTGATACACTATATTTTGTAGTGATGCTTTAAAAATTCTTAATCACACGTGGTTTTAGGAGCTGTACTGGGTCTTTGTGTTTTGAGTTGGCTGCTTCTGTCCGGGCTTGGTCTTTCACATGTTAAATTTGTGTAGCACGTTTTCTTAACAGCGCTGTCATAATCATGCTACTGGGCAAGCGAATTCCATGAGAAATTAGGACATTTAGTGGGTGTAGATTATTTTTGTTTGGTAGTGAATGGAAGAGCACTGTTTAAACGTCTTTATTACATACCTGGAGGAGTTGTTTTGTGGAGATGTGTTGGCTTTGTGTATGGATAATGAATGATCGTTTTTAGGTTTCAGTGTTTGTGATCTTGGAAATTCCTGTTCAACTTTGTGCTTTCACGTCACTAGGTGGAGATGTAGCATTGTTTGGTGGCATAGGCTAAGCAAGAGGAGTGAGTCTTGATTTCTCTTCTTTTGACAAAAGTACTTTAGAGATATTTGATAAGGTTTATTATAGCCTAGGAAAACACTTGTAAATTTAGTATAATTCAAAATTTTTAACTCTCTTTCTTTTTCAGGGTTGAAATTCAATCCTACTTAAGTGTCTATTTTCATACTGACCAACTCTTTGAAACATTTTTTTTCTCCTCTTACTGCTGTTTTCTTTTTGCTGTCCCTCATTATTTCACCTTGTCTGAGTTATTTTAATATCTCTATCTTTGGTTCTTTATAGGGATTTAATTCTAAAAGTTTAGTAAAAGAATCAGAATTCTTACTCTGAGGTCAAATAATAGATAAAATTTTAATTTGGTAGCAATATGAAGTCAATGAACCAAAATTTATAGTCTGAACATACCCTAATCTTATCTTTGTATTATTGTAGGTTAATAATGTCAATTTTTAACATTAACATTCTGTAGGGCTTACTTTTCCCCCTTTCCTTCCTTCCTTCCTTCTTTTTCTCACCTCTTGAATATTAAACAAGCACAATATCTACTTTTGCACGGTATTGATGTGGGGAATATAAAGGAAATAAGAGCCTGTCTCCAAAGAGCTGATAATCCTGTTGAGAACATTCCAAATGCGCCCACGAAGCAGCAATTTTCTACTCCTAGGTATATACCCAAGAGAAATGAAGGCATATGTTCACACAAATGTTTGGACATGAAGGTTCATAGCAGCACTATTCATAATAGCCAAAAAGTGGAAACAACCCAGATGTCTACCAGCTGATGAATGGATAAAGAAAATATGGTATACTTGCACAATGGAATATAATATAGCAATAAAAAGAAATGAGGTTCTGATACATGCTATGATGTAGATGATGCTTGAAAACATGCTGGTGAAAGAAGCCAGTCACAGAAGACCGCATATTATTCCGTTTATGTAAAAAGTTCAGAATAGCAAATCTATAGAGACAAAGTAGATCCATGGTTGCCTAGGGCTGGGTGGAGGGGAGTAACTGCTAATGGGTTTGGAACTTCTTTTGGTAGTGATGAAAATGTAAACTTGATTATAGTGATTAATGCACAGCTCTGACTATATACTAAAAACCACTGAGTTGTATGTACTTTTTTTTTTTTTGAGATGGAGTCTCACTCTGTTACCCAGGCTGGAATGCAGTGGCGTGATCTCGGCTCACTGCAACCTCTGCCTCCCAGGTCCAAGTAGTTCTCCTGCCTCAACCTCCTGAGTAGCTAGGACTACAGGCACCCGCCACCATGCCTGGCTAATTTTTGTATTTTTAGTAGAGAAGGGGTGTCACCATGTTGGTCAGGCTGGTCTCGAACTCCTGACCTCAAGTGATCCCCCTGCCTCGGCCTCCCAAAGTGCTGGGATTACAGGTGTGAGCCACTGCGCCCGGCCGTGTGTACACTTTACTTTCAATGAGTGAATTGTATGGTATAAGAATTATCATCCAATAAAGATTTTTTAAAAGGAAACTTTACTTTCAATGAGTGAATTGTATGGTATAATAATTATCTCCAATAAAGATTTTTTAAAAGTAAATTACCAAAAGGTTTAAAATTTATCAAACCAAGGTTTTTAAAAAATTTTTAATTTATTTTTATTTATTTATTTTTTATTTTGAGATGGAGTCTCACTCTGTCCCCCAGGCTGGAGTGCGGTGGCACGATCTCGGCTCACTGCAACCTCTACCTCCTGGGTTCAAGCAATTCTCCTGCCTCAGCCTCCCAACTAGCCTCCCAACTAGCTGGGATTACAGACACTCACCACCATGCATGGCTAATTTTTGTATTTTTAGTAGAGACGGGGTTTCACCATGTTGGCCTGGCTGGTCTTGAACTCCCGGCCTCAAGTGATCAGCCCACCATGGCCTCCCAAAGTCCTGGGTTTACAGGCGTGAGCCACTGCACCTGGCTCAAGGACTGTTTGGTGACCATCTACATAGGCACTATACGAAGTTCTATGCAAGTTATAAAACAAGTGTTAAGACACAAACACTGACCTCAGATTGTTTACAGTTCGAGAGAAAAGGCATACATGCAGTATCCAATGTCTTGTAATGCACCCTTGCTTTCTGAATTTGCTCCCCATCTTTGAATCTCCTGAATTCTGTCTTCCAGCTATTTCTGTAATGGCTCTGATCTTCTTACCATATGTTTTTTATTTTATCCTTTAAAAAGTGAACTGTTGCTCCTCAGACTTTGATAAATATCAGCCCCAGCCTGTTACCTTTAACTAATTGAAAGGACCTTTTAAAGTGATAGTGGCATCTCCAGTAATTTAAATTGTGTGGCTCATGGAAATCCATTCATTCAGCAAATACTTACTGAGGTTTCACTTACAAATAACTCTGGCAAATCACAAGACTGTTGGCATTATTGTTTTTAAGATCATGACAAATATTATTTTGCTACAATTTAGTCAGGTTGCATGGTGCTTGGAAAGTATAGTCTTGAGTTCCTAAATTTTCATGAAAAATATCTTCTGGTAATAGTTATAAGTTAAACAAATACGTGTTTGGTATAGAGCTAGTTGAATTGCCAGTATTCTAGTATGTTGCCATTGTTATGGTCATTAAGACTTTAAGAAAAGAAAGCCAGGCACGGTGGCTCATGCCTGTAATCCCAGCACTTTTGGGAGGCCAAAGTGGGTGGATCACCTGAGGTCAGGAGTTCGAGACCAGCCTGGCCAACATAGTGAAACCTCATCTCTACTAAAAATACAAAAATTAGCCGGACGTGGTGCCATCCGCCTGTAATCCCAGCTACTCGGGAGGCTGAGGCAGGAGAATCGCTTGAGCCTGGGAGACGGAGGTTGCAGTGAGCCGATACGGCACCACTGCACTCCAGCCTGGGCAACAGAGTGAGACTCTGTCTCAAAAAACAAACAAACAAAAAAATCCTTTAAGAAAAGAGAGATTAGCTGGGCATGGTGGCATGTGCCTGTAAGGCCAGCTACTTGGGAGGCTGAGGTGGGAGGACTGCTTGAGCCCAGTAGTTCGAGCCTGCAGTGAGCTATGATCACACCACTGTACTCTAGCCTAGGCGACAGAGTGAGACGCTGTCTTGGAAAAAATAGAAAAGAGAACTTTTGTTTTAGTCATGGTAATTCTATTAAAGCCACAAAAGGATATTTTGTAAAAGGTTGTAGTTGATTAATTCTACATCCATCTGTTTAGACAGTTTCTTTATCTTATATACCTATAGATATATACATGCACATGCATGCACACACACACACACATACATGCTTGTGCCTATATGTTATTAGTGCAGCAGCTAAACTTTTTCCTTTTCTTGTAGATGCATATGAAACAGCCAAGATGCTGTGTGAACAGTATTACCTGGTAGCTCCAGAGCTGGAAGTTGAAGAATTCAATGGTAAAAGAAAACTAATTTTAACCTTACATTCAAAAAAGCTGACTAAGAAGCTCTTTATACCTAAGCCATATTTCAGTGAGATCCAAAATTTTTTCATTTTCTTATATATTTTGTAAACTTTCTGTGCCTTTGGTCAACCAGATATATTATTGTAAGGAGTTTTTATACAGGAATGTGTAATGTGTTAGACCCCAGAATTCTTGGAACAGAAGTAATCAAGGTAGAGTATGTACAAAGGTATAAATAGGCTCTTCTCAAAGTAACAAATGCAAACAGTCAATAAACGTATGGAAAAGTGTTTAACTTCACTAATCAAGGAAGTACAAACAAAAACACAGACAAATGCCTTTTTTTTTTTCTTTTTTGAGAAGGAGTCTCACTCTGCTGCCCAGGCTGGAGTACAGTGGTGTGATCTCAGCTCACTGCAGCCTCTGCCTTCCAGGTTCAAGTGATTCTCCTGCCTCAGGCCCCTGAGTAGCTGGGATTACAGGTGCCTGCCACCATGCCTGGCTAATTTTTGTATTTTTAGTAGAGACGAGGTTTCACCATGTTGGCCAGGCTGGTCTTGAGCTCCTGACCTCAGGTGATCCACCCGCCTCGGCCTCCCAAAGTGCTGGGATTACAGTCGAGAGCCACCACGCCTGGCCAGAAATGCCATTTTTGTCTTTCAAAATGACAGTGATTAAAACGTTTTAATGCCTTGAATTTGTGCCCACAAAAATACTTTCTCACCAGCACATATATTTCTTGTATAAGCTTAAAGTGGCCGGGCACGGTGGCTCAAGCCTGTAATCCCAGCACTTTGGGAGGCCGAGACGGGCGGATCACAAGGTCAGGAGATCGAGACCATCCTGGCTAACACGGTGAAACCCCGTCTCTACAAAAATACACAAATTAGCTGGGCGAGATGGCGGGCGCCTGTAGTCCCAGCTACTCGGGAGGCTGAGGCAGGAGAATGGCGTGAACCCGGGAGGCGGAGCTTGCAGTGAGCTGAGATCCGGCCACTGCACTCCAGCCTGGGCGACAGAGCGAGACTCCGTCTCAAAAAAAAAAAAAAAAAAAAAAAAAAAGCTTAAAGTGGTATACCCTTTCTAAAAAATGCCAACAATGTTCTTTCTGTTTGGCCCAGTAAATAAGTTAATAATGGTCATATTCTTTGGTCCAGTAAATTAAACTTCAGAACATTTATTATAAGAAAATAGAGGCTGGACACGGTGGTTCATGCCTGTAATCCCAGTACTCTGGGAGGCCAAAGTAGGTAGATCTCTTGAGTCCAGGAGTTTAAGACCAGTCCGAGTGACATGGCGAAACCCCATCTCTACAAAAAATACAAAAATTAGCCAGGCGTGGTAGCACATGCTTGTATTCTCAGCTGCTTGGGAGGCTGAGGCAGGAGAATCACTTGAACCCGGGAGGCGGAGGTTGCAGTGAGCTGAGATAGTGCCATAGCACTCCACCCTCGGCAATAGAGTGAAACCCCATCTCAAAAAACAAACAAAAATATATGAAAATAGAGATGTACAGATTTATGTACAAGATTGATGATCACAGTAGTTTTCTTATAAAGTTAGAAAACAACCCAAGTTTTCCACAATAGAGCATTGTTTAACTGAATTGTGGTACACCTATAATTTGGAATACTATGCAGCCCTTTAAAATGATGCTTTAAACGAATAATGTATGGGAAAAATTGAGATGTTTTTAAAAAATACAGGCTATAAAAGTTTATAATAGTGGAAGTTCATTGAAAAATATTTTGAAGGATTTATACTACCAAAATACAAATAGCAGCTCTCTGGGTAATGGGGTTACATGTGATTTTTATGTTCATCATATGATTGCATATTTATTTACATATTCCTTTTATTTTTTATTTGTAAATTATGGAAGAGACATGCTCATCACAAAAATACAAATACAGAAATGTGAGTGAAAAGGGAAATCCCCCACTACTTTCTCAGTCCCATACAGAGTTTTGGTTTTTGCATAAAGCATGTATAGCTTTAACCCTATTTATAACGTGTTTTTCACTTCACCTTGAAGACCTTTGCAAGTATTAATCTCATTTAGAGATTATCCATAGTGTAGCTTACCATAATTTATTTAACTATTTTCCTATGGGTATACATTTAGGATTTCCGGTTTTCCTATATTCCATATAATGAGCTATGAAACAGTGTGAGAGGTGGGGAGGGTGGAAAAATTTGTGAACATATGAAAGTATTTCTGCAGGTTGGATTCCTAGATGTGGAATGACGGGGTGTGAGCATTTACAATTAAAGATAAACCAGGCCAGGCATGGTGGCTCACACCTGTAATCCCAGCACTTTGGGCGGCTGAGGCAGGAGAATCTCTTGAGCCCAGGAGTTCGAGACCAGCCTGGGCAAGATAGCAAAACCCTGTCTCTACACAAAATAGAAAAATTAGCTGGGCATAGTGGCATGTGTCTGTAATCCCAGCTACTCAGGAGGCTGAAGTGGGAGGATCGCTTGAGCCCAGGAGGTAAGAGGCTGCAGTGAGCCGAGATCACATGACTGCATTCCAGCCTGGGTGACAGAGCAAGACCCTGTCTCAAAAAAAAAAAAAAAAAAAAAGAAAGATAAACCAAATTCCCCCTCAGAAGTACATTAAAAATGTATTTCTCTTATAATGAGATTAAACTATGAAAGGAGTTCAGGCTGCTGTTGAGGACATGGCCCCTCCATTTGACTAGAAGGCATGAAGTCAAAGCTGCTTTCAAGGTCTCTTGAGTTCTCTGAGAAGAGTCATATCCCCATTGAATAAATACACTACCAGGACCAAGTGGGCTTGTCTGGAGTGTTCCTGATGAGAACCATCTTAATATTCTCTCTCTCTCTTCATACAGACTAGGCAGGAGCTGACCTCACATCCACAGGTAGTAACAAATTGCTCTTTTGCGTGAGTGGCAGCCTCCCTCATTCTAAAGGCCAAAGCAGCAGGCCTGTTCTTGCTGATTCCCAAGTGCCAGCCATGTCAGCACATTCCGTCCCCACTGAGGCTGTCATGCTGGGCAGCTCACCCACCAGGAGAGGAGCTTTCCGACTCTTTTTGGCATTGTCTCACGAATTACAGAAGCCCCCTTTCAATCATGTTCTGAAGCCCCTTGTCCTATCACTAAGATAAATGAATGCTGGTGTTTCTAGGTAGCCTCTAGCTTTATGTTGCTTTGGGTAGTGTAGTGATTATTTTTATGTATAATTTCTTAATGCTAGAGCTCTCTGTGAACATGATTAAGGAATGTGCTTTTGCCTTAACAAGTTCTATGTTGGAGATGCAGGTTGGAGGTTGATCCTGAACACCTTAAGTGGATGCTTTTTTATTTTGGAAGGAGAACTGTCTGGAAATAAAATTCCTTATATCTAATGGTATTTCTTAAATGCTGTTTCAACTAATGGCATTTGGAGCAATGATTGTACAAAATAGAGACTTTATTATTTCTGGAGTCTTGAACATGACAAACCTAGGCCATTTTTTAAATTGACTTTTTAAAATGTGCCCTTAGATGGAAAATTCATATTCTACTTATTTATAAGTCAGCAAACATCTATTAAGCATCTACTACTTAACAGCCAGCCTCGAGACCCAGAACTAGGAAAGAGTCATGGACAAAAACATCTGACATGGTTTTAAAAGGAAGGAAAGAAATCTAAACTATAATGTTCCCAAAGAAAAGTGCAAGTAATTGAGCAAGCCTTTAGATGGCTCCTAGAGAATGTTGTTTAAACTGAAAAAACAAAACAAAACAAAACAAAAAAAACCCCACTATATAAAAGGCATTTGCCTTTTCTTGAGATTTGGGGTGAAAATGTTGAATTCATAAGGCTGTTTATGTAACTAATGATGCCATTTGGTACAAGATGAACTGAGTACCCAGCTTGTTCCTCGAGCCCCATTAGAATGATAATAAAGGAGCCAGGCGCAATGGCTCACGCCTGCAATCCCAGCACTTTGGGAGTCCAAGGTGGGCGAACACCTGAGGTCAGGAGTTCGAGACCAGCCTGTCCAACATGGGGAAACCCCGTCTCTACTAAAAATACAAAAATTAGCCAGGAGTGGCAGCGCACACCTGTAATCCCAGCCACTCAGGAGGCTGGGACAGGATAATCGCTTGAACCCGGGAGGTGGAGGTTGCAGTGAGCCGAGATGGCGCCACTGCACTCCAGCCTGGGCAACAGAGCAAGACTGTGTCTCAAAAAATAAATAAATAAAAATAAAAATAATTGCTCTTTGAAGAGTTCAGGATTAGAATCAAAAGCTCTCGGTTCAGGTGTCCAGTTTCGGTGCCACTTCTGGGACCATGGGCAAGTCACACAGGCTTCCCAAAGCCTGTTTCCACGCCGCTAAACACCACCACCCTGCTAGGAGCCAGGAAATGTTGTCAGGAGGAGTCAATTGAATAATGTATATGAAAGCTCTTTGTAGACTGCTAAGAATCAAGCAAATGTGAACTCTAATTTATATTATTGTTAATTACTTTATTAGAGGAAGTAGCTGGTCGAAATGACAGCATTCTACCTGAGAGAGTTCATGTAGTTTCAATCTCTTAAGTGATTTTGGGTCATGAGGAGGAGGAAGGACTATATTTTTGAGCATCTACTCTGTATCCCACACTCTTCTTAGTGCTTGACCCGGGTTTTGGTGTTTCTCAGATTTTCTTCAGACGATCCATGGTGCAAGGGGAAAAAATCGTAGGTCTCTAGGGGTTTATCTGCTAGCTGCTTGAGAAAAAGTTACGTGAACCTTACATTCTATGCTATAAGATGTCTTGTTTGTCATAATTTAACAAAATTGAACACTGCCATTTAGTCCAGTTCACCAGCCCTTTGTTTATTTTCCCTGTTGCTCCACATTCCCCATGGAATTCCCCCTGGGGTCAGTGGCAGAAGGTAGCCCCCAATTTAAAAAACATCCAGTGATATCTGTCTGGCCTTCTGTAATACTCAGGATATTATGGCATAGGTGATAATATTCCAATTCTGCTCAACAAAGTTTCAAAGAGATTGAGTGATTTATCCAAGGTCACATAGCTGGTAAGTGAAGGAACGGGGCTTCACCCCAGGTTTGTTTGATTCCAAAGCATATGCTTTTGCTCAGCCCTGCCTTTAGAGGTGGAAACCCAAGTTAGCCTTTTATAGAGCTGTGTTTTACACACTTGGAAAATAGAGTGCAAACATCATTCTTGAGTTTCTCCTAGTTTGGGTCCTTATTGATTGATGGTTTTGTCTCTGTTTTCAGCCAAAGCACCAGACAAACCTATTCAGGTGGTTTATGTGCCCTCACATCTGTTTCATATGCTATTTGAGTTGTTCAAGGTAAGTGGAATTTTAAAAACATGGAAAGAAGTCTTCATTTTAAATTACTTTGATTCAGAACATAATGGATTCATTAGATTAGCATAAGAAAAAGGTTTTGCATAACCATTTTAAAAATTCTATTTCTGATATCCTGTGGGTTTTATAATTTGTACACTGTGAGATGAAAAATTGCTGTGTACAGTATAGTTTTCGTGAATATTAGTACATATCGATTTTGAAGCTTAATTGCACTTTAGTGATTTTATGTAAAATCCATACTGTTTTTTTCTTTAGTTATGAGATTAGAGATGCTTTTTAGTTTCCAAACCTGGCAAAGGCTTTATTGGTGGTAGCCAGATCAAAATAAAAACATGTTTATACATATTTATGCTTCTGAAAATTAACCACACTGGTACATTAGTGGTTGTTCCAATCCTGAGAGATCCTGCAACCCTTTTATAAAATATTTGAATCAATTCAGAAGATCTAAGAGAGGCAGAGAAAGATGTAGATGAGCTGGACCAAAAGAACCAGCCCCCACCACCCCACCAAATTCTTTAGACTCTGCAACTTAAGCTGTTGCTTTTGTTAATCAGTAGCTAATGACATTTACAGTAGCAGTATTACAGGCACAAGGCATTTGAGCTAAAATTTCATTTCTTCCAATGCGTGAAACACTAAATTGAACACCTGAAAAATCAGTTATGCTGATTTGCTTCCAAAAATTAGAGTGTTACTGATGTAATGCTTTAAGGTTGAAATGGGCATTCAATTGTGAACTTTCTCTTCAGCAGCTGTGGCTTTTTCAGAATTTCTTTTTAACCAATATTTCTTCTACTTTTTTCAGCCAAATGATTAATTTTTGTGGGAAGCATGCATCCTTTCAGTTTTTCTGCCTCCTTTAGAGAAAAGGTGCTCTATAAATGCAGACTGATAAATAGGATTTAAAGTACACAAATGAGCCTCTGCATAGCCTCATTACATGCGATAAAAACATTCCTCTGGATTGAGTTGAATAATTTAAATACCGTAAAGCAGAAAAAAAAAAAAAAAAAAAGAAGAAGAAGAAGGAGAGAAAAATAAATATTTAGCATGTTGGATGAGGCTAAAACTAGGTGAAAAACAAAGTGTCAGGAAATTTTTCCTTGATTTGAGCACGTTTAGCTAAGCTCTTTAGAGGGAAAAGTGCCATAAAAATCCAACTAATATTTGCCCCAAAAAAGGGTTGTTGGGTATAAGTCATCTTGCACTTCTTTCTCTTTAAAAATTGTGGTTTGTGATTCGGCAGTATGATTAATAAAAAGATCTTATTATTTTAGAACTCAATGAGAGCGACAGTCGAACTCTATGAAGACAGAAAAGAGGGCTACCCCGCTGTTAAAACCCTCGTTACTTTGGGTAAAGAAGACTTATCCATTAAGGTAACTGTTATATGTGCATGTATACTTTAATTATCAGTTGTGATTTAATAGTATCTAGACATTGAAAAATCAGAGGGAAGAAAATTGACATTTATTGAGTGTCCTATTTGTAAGTTCTATGCTAGATCCTTGGCTTAAGTTACCTTATTTAAACTTCATTAGAACCTTGTTATTCATGGAGTTGAACAAGACCTCAACACCAAGCCTGTTGGATCCTACTGTACCATTCGGCCACCTTTGCTTTACACTGTTCACAAAGGAACCATATGTCACTGGGGATTCAAAGTCCTTGTACATTTTAGAGTAATCTGCTATGTACTTTATTTAATGAACCCATTGCCTCCTACTAAGTATAGATCAACTTCTTTGTTTTGATTGTTAACATTTTGTACATTGCAGATCAGTGACCTAGGCGGTGGTGTCCCACTTCGAAAAATAGATCGTCTTTTTAACTACATGTATTCGACTGCTCCTAGACCCAGCCTGGAGCCTACCAGAGCTGCCCCTTTGGTAAGCATCTCAAACTGCTGCTGAAGGAAAGATCATAAACACGGGAAGGGGCTCAGAGGGAGCTGCCTCTCTCCCCAGGTTGTCACATTAGTGTAGTTGATTTAGAATGTTGCGGTTTGGAGGAGGGGGAATTTTTTGCCTTGGCTACTTTCTTTGTACTTCTATTTCCTCTCTGATTTATCTCTAAGAAACACTCCGAGCTGAGTGCCTCACTCCCAAATACAGAGAAAAAGTACCTCATCATGGTAAGACTGCTACTGAAGCACCATTTTCCACTTTGTGCTACCCTTGGAAGGGGTAGAAGTTACCAGTGGGTGAGCAAAGGGACAGTACTGAATGCATAGCTGCCGCTTGGTCCTGCACACTCTGGCGTGCATACCACAGAGGCGCGAATCACCTAGTGCCTTGGAATCTCCACTGTCAAATTTGTTTATATAATTAAAATGTTAAATTATGGAAACATTAAATTTTTATATTAAATAACATTAGCATGAAACATATAGGTGGTGTATGCGTTTTCAGAGCCCTTTCTGTCTCACTCTGGAAATAACCTTCAGCCCTATTAAGGCAGTGAGAAAAGCCTCTGGTTACCATGGTAGCATTTAGATCCTGGTAGGGCCACACTTGCTTCCCCTGCTGAGTGTTTCTAATTGACAAACAACAATTGAACCCTTTGTCATTAAACACAGCAACATATCTATCAGTCTGCAAAATGGTTCAGGGTATAAATTAAGTTTCATTTTAAAGTCCTACCTGACTGATAAGCACATAAGATTATATTTTATTTGTATGAATAAAATCAAACACTTTGCATCCTTTATTTGAGACAGAGTTTGTTAACTCAGCATGTTGGAAACAGGAAATCATTTATATAGGATTCGAGAAAATTCATGAAAGATCACGTTTGAGAGGCATTGCCTTGACTAGGCTCTGGCATGCACTTAAATACACATCAAAAGGAAAAAAGGCAGCACAAACAAATCTAGCACCTTCCCCAGTTGTTTAAAAGAAATATAGATTGTCTCTTCCAGGTCTTAAAATAGCATCTTGAGGAACTGGGGACTTGTAAGAGACCTTTAAAAATTACGCACGCACACTCCCATTGTATAGATGAGGAAATGAGGAAATGACCTTGCCCAAAGTCATTGAACTAATTAACTGCAGAGCTGGTGCTGGCCATGTCTGTGTTCTTTCCAGTGTACTATGTGGCCTTTCCTTTTGAAGAAATGCTTCCACTAGTGGCTCTCCCAGTTAAGAAACTGGCCTGTAATCCTAGCACTTTGGGAGGCCAAGGCAGGTGGATCACTTGAGGTCAGGAGTTCGAGACCAGCCTGGCCAACATGGTGAAACCCGGTCTCTACTAAAAATACATGCAAATAGTCAGGAGCAGTGGCGCACGCTTGTAATCCCAGCTACTCAGGAGGCTGAGGCACAAGAATTGCTTGAACCTGGGAGGTAGAAGTTGCAGTGAGCCAAGATTATGCCACTGCACTCCAGCCTGGGCGACAGAGCGAGACTCTGCCTCAAAAAAAAAAAAAAAAAAAAAGAAAAAGAAACTCTCCTCAGCTTTAAAGTGGGCACATGGATATGTACTACTAGAAAACATAATTTCCTCATTGAGCAACTTGCACTTTTACACCTCTGTGCCTTTACACTTGCATTTCTGTTGTGAGAATATCCACCCAGCGAACTCCTGCTGATGCTTTGACCCTCTGGGAAACCTTTCCTGAACCTCAGCCAATCCGAGGTCCAGACCCCTCCTCTGCACTCTGGGAGTCTGGGCTTACACTCACATCTGCATTGGCCTCGGAGCTCTCGCCTGTTCTGTGTTGGACCTGAGGGCAGGCTCTGGGCCTTGCTTGAGCATAGAAGGCAGATTTCCTCACATCTCTTCCTAGAGTGAGCTAGTTTCTTTGCTGTGGTTACCTGAGTCACTACTATAGATATCTCATCTTCACTACTGGCCATATTCAGCAAGTCCTAAAGCCCTCAAATAATGGAGTATGTTCTTTTACCCTCTGCCCTTTCAGTTAGACGCTACCCTGAGAGAAGGTATCAAGGAGAGATGTTAGAAAAGGGCAGAAATCCATGTAACTTCATAAAATTGCTGCTCCCAGTAGCTAGACTACCAGCTTCGATTTATTTAGTTTTACTGTGGTAAGCACTGTGCCAAGATTTGATACTTGTTATATTATTTAATCCTTATAGCAGCTCTGAGGTCAGTTTTTTTTAAAATTGTATATTCAGATGAAAAATTGGTCTCAAAGAGGTTGAGCAAACTGCTCAGAGTCACACACAAAGTGGATTTCAACTTGGGTCTATCTGAGTCTAAGGCCCATGTGACTCTATGCACATGGTCCCCTGCCCTCCTTCCTTAACCTTGTTCATAGATTTAACCAGAAGTGAGGAAGCTTGCTGTTAAAATATCTCCTTCCACACCCTGCCCCACTGCCACCGCAAACGATATTACATTTAGTTTCGATTCGTATTGTTCTTGTCCATACCTGAGACCTTTTTTTTTCTCCCTGACAGTCAGAGTTCCATGACATAGAGATATAGGAGGGTACTGAAAATTTTTTTAATCTCTAAAAATATCTGAACTATAATATACCAGAATATTCTCACATTCCCGGAACCTTAGAAGTTGCCTCTCAGAAAATTGTTTTCCTTTCCGTGTTCTCATTTTGTTACTGGTAGATTTGCACTCAGCACTGCGCTATTGATTTTCACTTCTAAGAGCAGGGAAATCTGATCGTGGGACGTTGAAATGATGTGGTTTAGTTTTGTCATCAGGTCACATTCCTCTTGATTTGGAATGTGCTTTTTTTTTTTTTTTTTTTTTTTTGTGGAGATGGAGTCTCGCTCTGTCACCCAGGCTGGAGTGCAGTGGCGCCATCTCAGCTCACTGCAACCTCCACCTCCCAGGTTCAAGCGATTCTCCTGCCTCAGCCTCCTGAGTAGCTGGGACTACAGTCTCCCACCACCTCGCCCAGCTAATTTTTGTAGTAGAGACGGGGTTTCGCCATGTTGGCCAGGCTGGTCACGAGTTCCTGACCTCAAGTGATCTACCTGCCTCAGCCTCCCAAAGTGCTGGGATTACAGGTGTGAGCCACTGTGCCCAGCCTTGGAATGTGCTTTTTAAAAATGATAAAACTGTGCTTTTAAATGCTAAAAAAGTATTAGTCAAAAAGTAGAATATTTTTATTATTATCCAAACATATAAGACATGTTTTTGCAGGGTGAAAATAAAGAGGTTGTTTGCCATAGAAGAGGATATACATCATTGTAAAGGTTGAGTCAGTAATTTCTTTGATTTAAATCTGAATCAAGAATTTATTTTAACCTTCTCTGAATGGTCATCATATAAAATGTGTTAGCATTTGTGCATGTCTCACTGTATTAATTTTCTTTTCTCAATAGGCTGGATTTGGTTATGGTTTGCCAATTTCCCGTCTGTATGCTAGATATTTTCAAGGAGATCTGAAACTGTATTCCATGGAAGGAGTGGGTACTGATGCTGTCATTTATTTGAAGGTACTGCATTTTATTTGTTAGTATGAGGCATCTTTGCTTTTTAAAGCTTTAAGTTCTAATCACTGATTGAGAATAGCGATCGTCTCTTAGATTCATCGCAGATTTACTTCACTTACCCATGAAAACCATGTTATGCCTCACCCTTGATTCTATGCTCAGGTATAGCAAAATATGAAACGTGGAGGCATAGAAATTAAAATACTGATTTTGGCCAGGCACTGTGGCACATGCCTGTAATCCCAGCACTTTGGGAGGCTGAGGTGGGCAGATCACCTGAGGTCAGTAGTTTGAGACCAGCCTGGCCAACATGGTGAAACCCCATGTCTACTAAAAATATAAAAAATTAGCTGGTGTGGTGGTGCACGCCTCTAGTCCCAGCTTCTCAGGAGGCTGAGGCAGGAGAGTCACTTGAACCCGCAAGGCAGAGGTTGCAGTGAGCTAAGATGGTGCCGCTGTACTCTAGCCTGGGCGATAGAATGAGACTCCGTCTCAAAAGAGAAAAAAAAAATTAAAATGCTGATTTTTAAAACCATAATTTTAAATTGTGACTTAAAAAACTGCATGCCTGTTGAAAGATCTGATCTAAAAGGAGGTAGATTTTCATAAACTGAAGTATTTTGGTCTTTGGTTTTAAAAACTCACTGGCTTTCCCAAAGTTACAAGAATTCAGTAATATGGTTAGATAAAAGGTTCATTTCATAACAAACTTCTCTGTAACACTGTCTTTCTTATTCATTGGTGGTAATTGGACTTTTATTTCTAAACTCTAGAATATTTGTAACATTTTTTTGAATAGGTAATATAGACACATAATAAAAATTTAAAAGCTGCAAAAGGAAAAATTAGTCTCTCCTCCCACTGGCCCTAAACCACCAGTTCTCTTCAGCGGAGATCACCACAGGTCTTAGCGTCTTACGGTTCCTCCTAGAGTTGATTCTACATTTATAAATATGGGAAAAATAGAATTTTTCCCACATAAATGAAATTTCAGCACCTTCTTATTTTTTTTACTTTCCAATCTGTCTTGGAGATCTTTCCAGAGCAGTTTATGTAGAACTGGCTCATTCTTTTAAACAGTGGCATAACATGCTACTGCGGGTCAAGCATCCCTAACCCAAGAATCTGCCATCCAAAATGCTTGAAAATCTGGAACTTTTTGAGCGCCAATGTGATGCTTGCTCAAAGGTCAAGCTTAAAGGAAATGCTTATTGGAGCACTCTAGATTTCAGATTTTCAGATTAGGGATGCTTAACAGGTAAGCACAATGCAAATATTCCAAAATCAGAAAAAATCAGAACTACTTCTGGTCCCAAGCATTTCTTTCTTTCTTTCCTTCCTTCTTTCCTTCTTTCCTTCCTTCTTTTCTTTCTTTTCTTTTGTTTTCTTCTCTTTTCTTTTCTTCTCTTTTCTCTTTTCTCTATCTCCCCTCCCCTCCCCTCCCCTTTTCTTTTGTGGAGATGGAGTCTCGCTCTGTCACCCAGGCTGGAGTGCAGTGGCGCCATCTCAGCTCACTGCAACCTCCACCTCCCGGGTTCAAGCGATTCTCCTGCCTCAGCCTCCCGAGTAGCTGGG